TGTTACCGTACACAGCCGAACCCAAACCCCCTGTTACCATACCCCCATACTCCCAACCCCCATCCCCTGTTACCGTACACACCCCACCTAAACCCCCTGTTGCTATACACACCCCACCCCGGAGTTACATATCATTCCGACGTTAAAATGAATACTGATGCTAAATACATATATGTATATTGCAACACTCTGATCGATTGTATAACTCTATCTTCTATAATGTGAGCTATTATAATATTGTAGCCAAGAGCAACGAGAAATGAATTGATGGCAATTAATGAAGAATTATTTTCCAAACTAGCTATAAAACTCCCACAATGGCCGTCACCAACTGTGAATACCGATTCTGATGCTCATAGGAACGATCGAAATGTTAAACGCAGCGATTTTAGACAGTTTTTGTTCACTGGGTACAACATTGTATTTGTCTTACAAGTTTAAATAAGGTATTCATTTAATACGAAAATTAACTTCAGCTTATGTATAGTATTTTTCATCAATTAGTTGCATTTTAGACTCAGAAGACAACGAACGGCGTCCCTGCCCCGGCGGTTGAGTTTGAACAGACTACAGGATTTGTTTACCATCTTCAGACGTCTGTACGGACCACGTACAATACATACAATAATGGCATATGGACTTGCGTTAACGTCATACTGCTGGTGTTATACTTCATCTATTTCGGATTCGCCATGGCACACGAGAAGTTCGGGGACGAGGGTTCGATTCGACTGCTTGTTTGTACGATTCTATTTGTGATCGGGCTGTGCTTGCATTTCTTGTTCAAACACTACGGTAACACAATGAGGATGCCGAAAATTAATATGGACCCGGACCGCAAAGAGAAGATTCTCAAAATGTACGTACAAATTCTCCATCGAAAACGTAGTTGTTAGTTATATAACAAGAACAGCCAACACCTTTTTTAAAACGATAATTCGTTGCAACACCTTTCTAAAAACGATAAGTCATGCAATACGACATTCCCAGCTTAAACAGGAAGTTTATAAGTCCCTACGGACATAAATCGTCAATCGTTTGTGGTGACTATAAATAGCGCCCTGTGCTAATTAGATAATAGAGAACAACGTTTTGGTAAAGTGCGTTAATAGTTCAGACTAAGCAATGTCCGCTTAAAGCAAGCGATATCTGACAATACCGAAAACTATTTAGCTGTTATGTTGTTTAACAGTTCAGAACTGTTTAGTTTCCTGCTCTTAACTTCTCAAGAACAAATCTTGAAACTGGTTGCACGTTGTCACGTGATCCTTCCGGTCATATGTCAACGAACTACATGTAACAGAGACGCATATACAATGTAGTATGTACATGTAATAAAAATACATGCACACTTGCTTGTAGGTTGAAAACTTCCGGAAGTTATGACAAGTCGAAATATGTACATGTATACATACTATGGATTTTTTTATTTCTGTAAACATTGTCGTTTCTTAATTATGTTTCAGAGGTTACATCGCCATTGTCGCAGCAATTGTTATCTTTATCATCGTCTACATAATTGCTGTAGTTGCAATTAACAGCCCCGACAATCTCATCAGTTTGACAGGCCTCGTCTTCTTTGTGTTCGCTTTCTTCATCTGCTCTCGAAATCCAGCCCAGGTAAATATCATTGATATAATTTGAAAATTAAACACATGTACTCTTACATAATCAGTAATAACGCATGACTACCGGACTGGAAACTGATTTTTATTGACGCTTAGGTACTTACAAATAAAGGATCGCTTATGGTTATGCAAATAACAGGTACAGATACACAGGTTTTATTCTGACTATAGGAATGTTTACATTTCCTCTGCTATCAGCTCTGTTATATAAATAAAGGTTGTTTGATATTATTGGTAATGGTAATAACATGATTTATGATATGTTCAGAGCATATGTCACTTTAGAAATCCCCCACATATAAATATCATCATATGTGTAAATCAAGGCCAGGAAAATATCATCACTTTGATACATAAATCCACCAGCACAGGTAAGTCATACAAATTTAATATGCAAAACACAAGTAAACATTATTGATTCGACTTAGAAATCCATCACGACATCAAATTCGTCGCCAATAAAATTAAAATAGTAGTCATCTTTTCATTTTCATTGAAAATATTACAGGAAATAGTAAAATGTTGCCGAAAGTCTAGCGGTAGTACGCCGGGCTCGTGACCAAAGGGTTGCGGGTTCGAGTCACGTCACAGCAATGTGTTGTATCTTTGAGCAAGATACTTTACTCTGCTTGTTCGAGTCTACGCAGCTGTAAATATGTACGTGGTTGGGCAGCGCTAGAATTGTTGAATGCTAGCTGTGAGCGTCGAAATGGCAGCACCGGCTGTATGGCCCAAAGGGAGTTGAGAAAAATATTGACTGGTTGCAAAGGCCCTATGACCACGGATAATAATTTGTGAACCGCTTTGAGACGACCTACGAACTAGGTTGTGATAAAGCGGTATATTGGAACCTCGAATCATTATTATTTAATATTATTAAATATCATAGCGTTGACTTAAGACCGAACTTTTTGCTCGTCGTAACAAGCAACTGATTTGAATATAAAGCATATTTTCGTCTATTTTCTAGGGCCGTGTTACTTTTTCCAGTGCTATTTTTACACAAATCTATATTTTTGCCTATTTGCTGTCCTTCTTTTCTTGAACATCAAAGCTACAATACATGTACAAATCATATTGTCATAGTTTCACATATACATAAAACAATACTGATATTTTGAAAGACATGTTTAAAATATCTTCCTCAAGGTTTTAATATACAGTATGATGTATCGACATCCGGACATATTTGGCCCTGGAGATATTTTATAATATACTGACATTCAGTGATCAGTCTACAATTAGTTTTTTGGGGTATTTTTCCACTGTATGGTTCAAAGATATGGGTCCTACCGAGTTAAATTTTAGTATTTTCATAACTCTATCGGTCAAATCGAAATTCTATGTATTTATCACTGGACATTCCTATAATGCATATGTTAGACAAATAAACCAGTTTTATTTAAGGTATTGTCTTACATAATTCAGATATATATGTGTATACTTTTAAAATAAGCTTCGAGCTCGTATCGCGCGCGGTTGCCAAGTGGTTAACTGACATTCTGCTACCACTAGCGACGTTTAGCTGTAGGCTTTCTTCATTCATCAGAACTTGAGGCAAAACCTGTTTATTTCAATGAAGATACCTTTTTATCCATGATTCATTAATCAATATATCTCGTAAACCTAAATATATGCTGGACAATTTAGAAGAAAATACACATCACCTTCAACATCATATTGTTGTTACAATATTTACATTTTCATTTAACACTGGAGAATTGATCTAACCTATCGTATGCATGTACGTCATATGAAATCAAAGCTAAGTGTGGTATGCTTTATCTACAGATTAAATGGCGTCCGGTGTTTTGGGGACTTGTTATCCAGTTCTTCTTTGCTCTTCTGATTCTGCGCTGGCCCTTCGGGTACCAGGCTTTTCTGTGGCTCGGGGATCGCGTATCCGAATTTCTGGCCTACTCCGACAAGGGCGCCATCTTTGTGTTCGGGGACAAATACACAGATCATTTCTTCGCCTTTAAGGTAAGTCGATGAGTTAAGACCACACAAATGTATCTCAAATATCTATTTCACAAATAAAATTATGATTGTTTATTCTCAATTTAACAGGTTTAAAGCCCATTTTATACGTAATGGCCAATTTTAGTATTCACAAAACAGTATGTAATCACATTTGTACTCAAGATTTTGTTGCGATGATATATGTCTCGGTACATATTAAAGCTGTACACAGTCATTGAAATGCTATCCTACGCCAATAAACACTTTCTTTATACCAGGAAAATGAGTCTAGTTGATCGTCCAACCAACCGCAAGCTAAACTTCTTCATTGAAAATCACAATAAAATGCGCCGTAGAACTTAAAAGACATTTTTTTGGCCATACCGGTATCATCCATAACTACAAAATCCTCAACAAAGGATTACAATCATAAAATACGTCTTACGTACTATCTACCATAGGTTTTTTGAACGATCATGACACCTTTCCAAAATATAACCACGTTAATGTTTAATGATGGTAAGAATCATCGTATGTGTTATAAAATGAATGATATAGTGTACCCGAGTTTTATATGGTAGGAAAACGACCGTCGAATGTTCACTTAGCTAGACTTTGGCTCCAATGTGGCTTCCTAAACGCTGATGTTTTCAAAGTTAAGTGATTAAACTCGCCTTCTTGCGCATGATGACATGCCATTCCGTCTTCGAAATTCCTGGATGTATGCTCCCTTGCTTCTCTGCACGAAACGTTAGTGATCTTATAACCTTTTGCATTTCGAAAATGATAACAATCAAGACGTTCTCCATTTTTTTGTATGCGGTAAACTAACAGAACAACGATTACACATGTCTGAAATCTTTTCTTAATAATCACCTTTAGTTTTAGATACTTTTTTTTTATTAATAGGCAACAAACGTTTTTCGCTTATTGGAAAGGTAGGGGCAAACGCCTATGGAGATTTAACATTAGCGTCGGCCCCCGCTTTGAATTTTAAAACAAACAAAAATACATAAAGGTTTAGGTTTATCAAGCTTAAATCAGAAAGAGTTAGTTTCAGAGTTAATCTTATGACAAATAGAACCTCATTGACTTGTGTTACAAATGTATGAAAGGATGTCCACTATGGTTATCAGTGGTAATAATGAATAATCAGATATGCAACTATTGTTCATTTGTATATATTTACATTTGTGCTGCAACCTACTATATGAACATGACCAGCAGAAATGCATTTCATTCGAGTATGAATTGTAGTTCTTTTGTAACATTATCACACACCCAAAAGGGCCTCAGATTAAGTAGAAAACAATGGTACCACGTAGTCCTGAATAGAAACCGTTACTTTCAGAATGGGAAGAAAATTATTATTATTATTCAATCTGTTTTGGTCTTGAAATCCACTACTAGCATACAATGTATGTCTTCCACATAAATAAAGCTATTTTATCCCGTGTTTCACTATATGTTTCACTGTAAAAGATTAGGGTACGTATTCATTAAACCGTTCTCATACTCATGCATGGATTATGTGCTCAAACCAGCTTTCATGTACATGTAGATTACTTAAGTCATGTCAAACGATCTATGCGTCGAATGTTAACTTCGAAAACAGTATTCTTCTATCAGTCTCTTCAATTGACTTTTCACAAACATTGAACAAAAATCTTTGTTTTCAATCAACTTATAACCGGAACGAGAAATCAGGTTTGAACGCAAAATCCATGCTTGAGCACGAGAACAATTTCATGAAAACGGGTCTAGGATGTTATTGCTCAACCAAAATAAGTATATTCTTCGGGAATTGTTCTATCGATTTTAAGAGGCACGGTAGTCTAGTGGTAGGACGCCAGGATCGTGACCGAAGGGTTGCGGGTTCGAGTCACGTCACATCACTGTGTTGTATCTTTGAGCAAGATACTTTAATCCGGTTGTTCCAGTCTACTCAGCTGTAAATGAGTACGTGGTTGTGCATTGCTAGAATTGTAGAATGCTAGCTGTGAACGCCAAAATGGCAGCACCGACTGTATGCTCCCCATGAAGTTGGGAAAGATATTGGCCGGTTGCAAAGGCTATATATAACTATGGATAGTAATTTGTGAACCACTTTGAGACGACCTACGAACTAGGTTGTGATAAAGCGGTATATAAGAACCACGAATCATTATTATTATTTTGTTTATCGTCCCATTAGGTGCTGACTGTGATCGTGTTCTTCAGTACAGCTGTCTCTGTGCTTTATTACATTGGTGTGATGCAGTTTATTATCCGTTATCTGGCCCGTTTCATGTCTTCTGTCATGGGAACCTCTCCTACCGAGTCTCTGAATGCCGCTGGAAATATCTTCATCGGACAGGTAAGTCACAGATTACCAAACTGTAACATCTTCATAGGACAGGTAAGTCACAGATTACCAAACTGTATCATCTTCATCGGACAGGTAAGTCACAGATTACCAAACTGTAACGCCTTCATCGGACAGGTAAGTCACAGTTTACCAAACTGTAACATCGTCATCGGACAGGGAAGTCACAGATTAACAAACTGTAACATCTACATCGGACAGGTAAGTCACAGATTACCAAACTGTAACACCTTCATCGGACAGGTAAGTCACAGTTTACCAAACTGTAACATCTTCATCGGACAGGTAAGTCACAGATTACCAAACTGTAACATCTTCATCGGACAAGTTAGTCACAGATTACCAAACTGTAACATCTTTATCGGACAGGTAAGTCACAGATTACCAAACTGTAACATCTTCATCGGACAGGTTAGTCACAGATTACCAAACTGTTACATAGTCATCGGACAGGTAAGTCACAGATTACCAAACTGTAACATCTTCATCGGACAGGTAAGTCACAGATTACCAAACTGTAACATCTTCATCGGACAAGTTAGTCACAGATTACCAAACTGTAACATCGTCATCGGACAGGTAAGTCAGAGATTACCAAACTGTAACATCTTTATCGGACAGGTAAGTCACAGATTACGAAACTGTTACATCTTCATCGGACAGGTAAGTAACAGATTACCAAACTGTAACATCGTAATCTTACAGGTAAGTCACAGAGTACCAAACTGGAACATCTTCATCGGACAGGTAAGTCACATATTACCAAACGGTAACATCGTCATCCGACAGGTAAGTCACAGATTACCTAACTGTAACATCTACATCGAACAGGTAAGTCACAGATTACCAAAATGTTACATCTTCATCGGACAGGTAAGTAACAGATTACCAAACTGTAACATCGTCATTGGACAGGTAAGTCACAGATTACCAATCTGTAACATCTTCATCGGACAGGTACGTCACAGATTACCAAACTGTAACATCGTCATCAGACAGGTAAGTAACAGATTACCAAACTGTAACATCTACATCGGCCAGGTAAGTCACAGATTACCAAAAAGTTACATCGTCATCGGACAGGTAACATTTTGGTAATCTGTGACTTACCTGTTTGATGAAGATGTTACAGTTTGGTAATCTATGACTTACCTGTCCGATGACGATCTTACAGTTTGGTAATCTGTGACTTACCGGTCCGATGAAGATGTTACAGTTTGGTAATCCGTGACTTACCTGTCCGATGAAAATGTTACAGTTTGGTAATCTGTGACTTCCCTGTCCGATGTAGATGTTACAGTTTGTTAATCTGTGACTTACCTGTCCGATGCTGTAACATCTTCATCAAACAGGTAAGTCACAGATTACCAAACTTTAACATCTTCATTGGACAGGTAAGTCACAGATTACCCAACTGTAACATCTTCATCGGACAGGTAAGTCACAGATTACCAAACTGTTACATCTTCATCGGACAGGTAAGTCACAGATTACCAAAATGTTACATCGTCATCGGACAGGTAAGTCACAGATTACCAAACTTTAACATCTTCATTGGACAGGTAAGTCACAGATTACCAAACTGTAACATCGGTTTCGGACAGGTAAGTCACAGATTACCAAACTTTAGCATCTTCATCGGACAGGTAAGTCACAGATTACCAAACTGTAACATCTTCATCGGAAAGGTAAGTCACAAATTACCACACTGTAACATCGTCATTGGCTTCATCGGACAGGTAAGTCACAGATTACCAATCTGTAACATCGTCATCGGACAGGTAAGTCACAGATTACCAAACTGAAACATCGTCATCGGACAGGTAAGTCACAAATTACCAAACTGTAACATCGTCATTGGACAGGTAAGTCACAGATTACCAAACTGTAACATCGTCATCCGACAGGTAAGGTACAATGTACCAAACTGTGTTTCAGTTTGGTAGCAAAAGAGATTGACATGATATTGTGCCGCCGAACTGTTTTTATAAGACACCAGATTTAATTCTTTATCATCGAATTGAGCCGTTGTATTATATGCTAAGAGCTTTAAAACAAGTTCAGTGTATGCGTTTTAAATTATTCAATTAGGGTGTTTTTAAATATGATTCTCCAAGAGGTTAAAATTTAGAATAACAGTATCATCTTTAATGGGGCCTGTTCAACCTGAACTGTGTTATATGATCATTTCTGCTGACTGATGTTATAACACGGTAAATGATTTTACTGTTTGGGAAAGCTTATATAACATTATTTTCACAATGGCAATGCTCTAAAATGTTTTCCGGTGTGATGCCGTATGAAATGATATATGTATTTGTAGAGCGAGGCACCTTTACTTATTCAACCATTCCTGAAGGATATGACAAATTCGGAGCTTCACGCTGTTCTGACAGGAGGGTTCGCCACTATAGCCGGAAGTGTCATGGCGGCGTACATAGCGATAGATGTAAGGGGCTTTTATTGTTGTGCATCCCAACTTTACAAATCATGGTCTTCATCATTGTCGTGAGCGTAATTTGATTAAATGCCTTTTTAATTTATTCGACAATGAATAATAATGCTGTAACAAAGTTTAAAATCTGCAAAGTGGAGGTGATAGCTACAGTGTGGTTTATTGGTAATTTGTATTTGACAAATATAGTGGGAAAGAAGATAACTATTTATGTTCGTATATTTCTTACAAACAGATATTTTTGTTTTAATTGTCGATCATCTCCTAAATATTTACAATTATTCGGCCTAAATAAATCATGATTTATCCAATGTATTATTTATTAATAATTAACTAATCGTTTGTAACATTTGAGGAAGGTTGAAAACCTCATTTCATTAAATGTCTTGTCTGTGATGGGGTCTGACTTCATCTGTTGGTCCTGTAATTCTTCTGTACGGTTATAAGTACTGTTGGTGTATGATTGACAGGTGCCCGCTAACCATCTCTTGTCCGCCTCTGTCATGTCCGCACCCGCCGCCCTGGCTATGTCCAAGCTGATATGTCCGGAGACTGAGGGAAGCAAGTCTGACCCCGAGAAGGTTTATAACATGGAGGCGAGGTATGTAGCTACAAACCCGTACACAAGGGCTTCATATGTATACCATTGATATAATGAAGTGCTAGAACTGCTTGAAAATTTCCTTATGAAGGTGCTAAAAGGTCATTTAATTCATGTTATTTTCTGGATTGTGCTGAAAACAAGTTTCATTTGTTTCTTAATGCGTATTTAAAGGGAACTTATTCTTATAGTCGACACAATGAGACCATCATAAGCATATTGATATTAAACTGGAAACTGTTCGTTCAATTTACGGAACTATACATATTTACATTAACAGCCCAGAAAGGAATGTTATCGAAGCTGCTTCAAATGGCGCCTCCCAGTCCATCAAGCTGATAGCAAACATTGCTGCGAACCTGATTGCCTTTATTGCTGTTTTGGAGTTTATCAACGCTACGCTTGATTGGTTCGGTTCACGTGTAGGACTGGAGGAACCTGACTATGAAAGATTGACATTTCAAGTAAGTTCGTCATAACATCCTCGTGTCATTACTAAAATGATTATTCAATGATGATGTAAGTAACTTATGTTAAGCGGGCCACGTAGAGGGAACCAAAATAGCAAGGATACTATTGCTTCTAGGTAGGTCTCTAACGGATTGCTGAGCACCAATGACATAGCCTTTATTGTTGACACATTACAAGTATCCCCGGAGATACAAGAGATACTGCTGCAGGTCACATCTGAACCCTACTACACTGTGTATCAACATTTATGTAAACAATCCTGTACAATGTTCAGATAGTAATTGATACAATTCGCACATATTTCGTTCTACCAAACCTGCAATCTTTCTATGTTGACAGCCTTGCCAATTTTTCAAATCAGTTTTAAGATTCATCTTTCAGAATAATAGTTGCGATAATTCGTTTTCTTATAATCTGTGGTTAGGACAAAAAGATGGCGTTAACCCTGTATGATGCAGTGTAATTCATTTTTGGCATACTGTATCTGTTACAAACTTTTCGAAGGTGCACTTACCTGTGTGTGCGTTACGTTCATCTGTATGTGTGTGATACGTTCATCTATCTGTGTGTGTTACGTTAATAACTTTATGTTACGTTCATCTGTGTGTGTGTTACGTTCATTTCTCTGTGTGTGTTACGTTCCTATTTGTATGTGGTAAGTTCATCTGTGTGCGTGTGTGTGTGTTACGTTCATCTATGTGTGTGTTACGTTCATCTCTGTGTGTGTTACGTTCATCTCTGTGTGTGTTACGTTCATCACTGTGTGTGTTACGTTCATCTGTGTGTGTTTCGTTCATCTGTGTGTGTTACGTTCATTTCTCTGTGTGTGTTACTTTCATATGTGTGTGTTACGTTCGTGTGTGTGTGTGTTACGTTCATCTGTGTGTGCGATACTTTCATATCTGTATGTGTGTTACGTTCATCTGTGTGTGTGTTACGTTCATCTCTGTGTGTGGGGGGGTTACGTTCATCTGTGTGTGGGTTACGTTCGTATCTGTGTGTGTTACGTTCATCTCTTTGTGTGTTACGTTCATATGTGTGTGTGTGCTACGTTCATCTATGTGTGTTACGTTCATCTCTGTGTGTGTTACGTTCATCTCTGTGTGTGTTACGTTCATCTCTGTGTGTGTTACGTTCAT